GGGGGGGGGACGTTGGCCCTCCCCGCCGGCCCGGCGCCTCCCTCCAGGCCCCGCCCCGCAGCGCCGGGGCCTCCAGCCCTCAGAGAACGCCCGGCTGCGCGGAGAAGCCGACGGAGCCTCGCCCCGCCCCCGCCCCACTGCGGCCCCGCCTCCTCGTCGACCCCGCGCCCCGCCCCCATCAGTCACGGGCCTGTGTGGCCGCCCCGCGGCCTTCGACTGGACCGCGCGTAGGACACCCCCGAACAAAGGGCGGAGGTGCTGGCCCAGGGCAGGACTACGAGGGACAGGAACGCTGGGGGTGCTGGGCCGTGGGCGCGGGTCCCCAGACCCTGCCCCCGTGAACCTGGCCTGGTCCCGCAGCCCCCCGAGCCTGGGTCTCCTTGTCTGGCCGGGGGCAAGGGGGTGTTTGGGCGGGTCCCAGGAAGGATGGGCGAAGCCCGATCCTCCGCCGAGCCCCCGGCTCTGTGCGCCCCGGGCTGGGAAGGTCCCCGTGCCTCCGTGGGGCACCCAGGCCGTTCTCCTCACGCTGTGAAGCTTCATTTCAGCCTCCCCAGGGCAGGGGGTTTGCCCGTGGGGCGGGCACCGTGACTTCATCTGCTTCTCAGGCAGCGGGAGGGACGATGCCTCGTTGTTCCCTCCCCGAGAGCAGACAGAATGAAGCACGTTCTGGGCACTGGACCAGGAAACGGGTTCCCAGAAATCGTGCTGTCTTCTCGGGCCCCCCCCCCCCCTTCGCCTTTCTCCTCTTCCTTCCAGCAGCGAGGGGCGTGGTGCAGGGGTCCCAGATCGGCCTGCGAATCCTGAGTCTTCAGGAAGTGACCACGTGGAACCGACTGCGGCTTCCGTTGTACAGCCCCTTTGATCAAGCATCTTACAGAAAGACATACCTGAGGATATGTGTACAAGGTTGTTTCTTGCAACGTTATTGACATTAGTGACAATAAAAGGAAATAGCCTACATATTCTGTTGGGGAATGGTAGAAGAAATTACAGTGCATTCAACTATGAAATCCATACTTTGAGCTGTTATGCAGTTATCACAAAGAACAGGTTAGAGCCACATACAGTTACCAGTAAACAGATTTGTTATGTATTGGAAACAAGCAAATTGCAGAAAAAATATTTTATCTCTAAAATGTAGTTCTGTTGAAAAAAAATTAAAAGTGGGTGGGGAGACAGAAAGGTTTGTATATTTTTCATGTCTCTCAAGAAAGACATGAAAGAATACACATCACACTGTCCGGTTTCCTTGGAGGCCTAGAGCTTTTCTCTATGTAACTTTGTACTGCCTGATGTGTTGTAAGCAAGTATTTTGAAATTAAAAAAAATCAGTATAGAAAAGGAGAACAGAAAAAACCATGTCGGAGGCCGAGTGCCGTTCCCTCAGTAGTCATGTATTGCTTCTTGCGCAATAATAGATCCGCAGATATTTAGCTGGGTTTGAGGCCACGTTTCTCTGCCTTCCTGCAGCCCGCTGACGGCCGGCCTATAGAGAGTGAGGAAGGGACGTCTGTAGTTTCTGGGACAAGATCCCTTAAAGGTAGGGGTAGTGCATCTCCTTCCCACATCCTCCATCCTGCTCCGGGGTTGTGGACGGGCCAGCAGAAGCTCACCTTGGACCCTGAGGCTCAAAACCACACCCTCTGGACAGCTGAGCAGGCGTCCAGGAGAGCCAGGCTTAGGGAGGCCGGGGAGCCATCACACTGCCCTGAAGCGCCTTCCTCCAGGCTTTGACATCAAAGGGAAAGAAACTTTGGTCTTGTTCAAGCTACTATTATTTGGAGTCTTTTACATGCAGCCAAATAAACCCTCCTTCGTGTAAGACACAGAAAAAGTAGACTTCTTCCTGGTCATGAGATTCTGCTGTGACGCCACACCCAGGACCACACGGGAACAGACCGGGTTCTACAGGAGGGAGACCAGCCTGAAGCCCAGAGCCACTCAGAGCCTCACGGAGGTGAGTCACTCACACAGCAGGTGACGGGCGCACCAGGCCCGGATTGCAGGAGCTGACCTCTGGACTGGAACCCGGCCCTGCGCGGTGCTGAACTCGGCTCTGGCTGCAGGACCTCCGTGGCAGAGATGCCTGGCTGCAAGAGAGACAGCTCGGGATATGAGCAGCCTGTCCTCCTCCCAGGGCCACACCGGGAGCCCTGAGGTCAAGTTTCTGGACGGAAAGACAGTCCTGGGGTGAGTTTTAGCAAAACCTGAGTTTTCGCTCTTTCGCGTCAAGCCCCTCGGCTGCCATTCTGGCCGCCGGTGTTAAGGCCTGGCCCCCTCTCCAGTGGAAGGAACTGCCTTGGGTGCTGGAGGGAAAAGTCTTGCTCCCTCCTTGCAGTGGCTTTTTGGGGTGCTCCCCATCGGCTCAGGTTCCTGGAGTGACAGTGAAAGAAAGGAGGAAACAAAGGCCCAGAATCCAGAACCGCACCTGCTTGTCTGTCTTCATCAAGCAATGCAACCTCGTAATTCTAACTGCCAACATTTCCTGACTTGGGTTTTGCATCACACTTTCAAATTCTCTGGAAAGAGTCTGATTAACTGATGCCATTTGGTGCCCCAGGATCCCACATCCTACGTGGACTGTGGGCTGTTCTTCGAGAGCCTTCCAAGGGGGGAAGGCAAAACGTTAAATCCCACCACTGCAGGCAGCCCAATGGAGTCGTAGGGGAAGCACTGTTCCCGTGGCTTCAGTGGACAAACACGATCATGCCCTCCTCGTCTGTCACGTGGGTGGCAAAATCAGCTTCAGGTCTGCCATTGGAGCATAGAGTAAAAATTTGATCATCTGTACCCAGCCCATTTGACGTTTGTGACTTTTTAAACAGGGGCTATGTTGTTTACCCTTGCACCATCTCTCCTTCTCAAAACACAAACTGATAATATAAAGAAGATTGTGATAAATTTTTTTTTTTTTTTTTTTTTTTTTGCGGTATGTGGGCCTCTCACTGCTTGTGGCCTCTCCCGTTGCGGAGCGCAGGCTCAGCGGCCATGGCTCACGGGCCCAGCCACTCCGCGGCACGTGGGATCTTCCCGGACCGGGGCACAATCCCGTGTCCCCTGCATCGGCAGGCGGACTCTCAACCACTGCGCCACCAGGGAAGCTCTAATCTATTTTTTTTAACTGAAATCTTCAAGCTCTCATATGAATATCAGCAATTAATAGGCTAATTACAAAGGGTGCTTCCCTAATCATAAAAGCAAGTCTAACAAGAATTCGTTAACCATTGCATCTTCTTTTAATTGCTTGCAAGTGACAAGACAGAACTTATTTTGAAATCTTTTTTTATTTGGTTTTATCACAAATTTGAGACCAGCTTCTCTTCCTCTCGTGCCTTCCAGGTTACTGGGATTAAGACTGTATCCCAGTCACATCACCCCTAGAGATTCCATTGGAAACTGGGTCTGAGTGCGTTGGTGGGCGGGAAGGGAGGACCAGTCTGGACCTCATAACATCCCATTCTACAGGGAATGGCCATGCTGGGCTCCATCCACCAATATGGTCTGTCTTTCTATGTGTTCCCACTCTAGAATTTTAGGTAGGTCAGTTCACGTGAGAAAGCCAGTACCAGGCAAACCTGGTCCATCACAACTCACCTGCTGAGGGCTCTGGGTTCCCTGGTAAAGCTGGAAGGAACCATCAGACTCCTTTAAGGACGCTCCATTTCTCAGCTACTGCTTATCAGCTGAACCCAGGCTGCATTCATTTTCTGCGCTGCATGACAAATTACCACAAATTTAATGGCTTAAGATAACATGGGCTTATTATCTCAGACTTTCCGTGTGCAGGAGTCTGGACTGAGTCCTCACCTGGAGGCTCCGCTGGGGAAGAATCTGCCCCCAGGCTCATGCAGTGTCTTGACAGACTTCCTTTGCCCGGCTGTACTGAGGGCCCAGCTCCGTGCTGGCTGTTGGCTGGGGGCACCCCCGGGTGCTAGAGGCTGCCCACAGTTCTTTGACATGCGAGCTTCTCCAACACAGCTGCATCTTTCATTAAGCTCATAAGGAGAGTCTCTAGCCCCTGTTTGCTAAGAGGGAGTCTTGTGTAATGTAACCTAATCATAGGAGCGATGTTTTGTCACCTTCATCATATTCTGTAGATAGAAGCACAGGTCCTGCTCACCCTCAGAGGGGGATCATACGAGCTCATGGACACCAGGAGGCAGGGGTCCCAGCAGCCACCCTGAAGTCTCTCCACCACACAGCCTTTGGCATTTTCCCCATCCCCTGAATCTGGGCTTGCCCTGTGACCTGCTTTGGCCAGTAGAAGGTGGCCGATATGACCAACTGTCAGTTGCCAGCCTAGGCCTTGGGAGGCCTTGTCCTCTCTTTCTCTCTGAAACTTTCTAGGCTAGCATGAAAGCAAGCCCAGGTTAGCCTGCTGGAAGGTGAGAGATGCATGGAGCAGATTAGTCATCCTAGCACATGCAAAGGCCCTGAGGCCCAAGGATGTTTGACATGTGTGAAGATCAGACAGGAGGCCAGACTGAGGGAACAGTGGTAAGAAATGAGACTGGAGAAGCAGTTAGGAGCCTGAAAAGCCGTGATGAGGACTTTGAGTTTTATTCTAAATGCATGATAGCAACAAATGAACAAATGAGTAAACAAACAAAGACAGGAGTGAATGGTCAACTGGGGAGAAGGAAAGTGTACATGGTTCCTAACAGGTAAAACAAGCAGCCATTGCCATGGACAGCTTGTCTGGGATTTGAAACTCAAAGAAGAGCACCTCCCATGCTTCTCTGTGACAGGCTCAGCTCACAGTGAATGGAGCCCTGGGCACCACGTAACCTGATCTCTGTTGCTTTCGTTCCTGGCTCTGGATCCCCAGTGGGCATCAGATTAGCTCTGATATTGATTATTAACTTTATTATTATATATGTTGTGTCCCCAGTGACAGATTCATAATTAGTTTTAGTGTTTGTCTTTTAAATATTACAGAAAATAAAAAATGGAGACAAACCCAAATTTCAATAATGATGACGTTTATGTGTGCCCATATATTTACCTTTATTGGGGATCTCATATCACTTTGTGCTACTGTCTAAAGCCCTTTCATTTCAACTTGAAGGACTCTCTTCAGAATTTCTTGTAGAGCAGGTCTAGTGGCAGTGAACTCCTTCAGCTTTTGTTTATCTGAGAATGTCTTCAATTTCTCCCTCATTTTTGAAGAACAGTTTAGCCAGATATATAATTCTTGGTTGACAATTTTTTTTTCTTTCAGCATTTTAAACAAATTATACTATTGCCTTCTGACCTCCATGACTTCTAATGATAAATCAGCTAAAAATCTTATTGAGGATCCCTTGTATGTGACAAGTTACTTTTCTCTTGCTGTTTTCAAGTTTCTGTCTTTGGCTGTCGACAGTTTGATTATGTGTCTCAGTATGGATCTCTCTGGGTTCTTCCTACTTAGAGTTTATGGAGCTTCTTGAATTCATGTGTTTTTTCAAATTCGAGAAGTTTTCAACCACTATTTCTCCATATAATCATCCTGCCTCTTTCTCTGTCTCTTCTTCTGAAACTCCCATAAGGCATAAGTTGTTCCACTTAATGGCATTCCACAAATCCCTTATGGTCCGTGCACTTTTATTCATTCTTTTTCCCTGCTTCTCAGACTCAATACTTTTATTTTTTATTTATATATTTTAATAAATTTATTTATTTATTTATTTGTTTTTATTTTTGGCTGTGTTGGGTCTTTGTTGCTGTACGTGGCCTTTTTCTAGTTGCAGCGAGTGGGGGCTACTCTTCATTGCAGTGCGTGGGCTTTTCATTGTCGTGGCTTCTCTTGTTGCAGAGCACGGGCTCTAGGCACACGGGCTTCAGTAGTTGTGGCTCACAGGCTCTAGAGCACAGACTCAGTAGTTGTGGCATATGGGCTTAGTTGCTCTGTGGCATGTGGGATCTTCCCAGGCCAGGGATTGAACCTGTGTCCCCTTCATTGGCAGGCGGATTCTTAACCACTGCACCACCAGGGAAGCCCTCAGACTCAATACTTTTAATCATTCTATCTTCAAGTCCACTGATTGTTTTTTCTGTTTGTTCCAATTTGTTGCTGAACCCCTCTAGTGAATTTTTTATATAAATGATTGTACTTTTCAGCTCAAAAATTTTTGTTTGGTTCCTTTTTGTAATTTCTTTCTCTTTGTTAATATTCTCACTTTGTTCACATATGGATTTCCTAATTTCCTTTTGTCCTTTGCCCATGTTTTCCCTAGAGAGTTGGTTTAAAGGCTTTATCTAGTAATTCTGATGCCTGGGTTTCTTCAGGGACAGCTTCTGTCTATTAATTTTGTTCCTTTGAATGGGCCGTGTGTTCCTGACTCTTCTTATGCCTTGTGATTTCTTTTGTTGTTGTTGAACATTGTGCGTGTGACTACAACGTGGTAACTCTGGAAATCAGATTCTATTTCTTCCCCTTCCTCAGGGTTTGCTGGTTTTCTCTCTCCTTTCTCTTCCTTCCTTCCTTCCTCTCTCTCTACCAATGGTTATTGTTGAAGGCTAGAGTAGTACATTTATGATACTTTTCCAAAATATTTTTGCAAAGCTTATATGCCTTATCACGTGTAATTACTGAAGTTTCTATTTCTTTTGCTTGTGTTCAGCTAGGATCTTGACAGAGATTTCCCGAAATGCCAGGAGCTCAAACAAACAAACAAACAAAACCACCAAAAGAAGACTCCAAAATGAGAGAAGAGACACCTTTCCTAGTCTTTGCAGATTGGCTCTGTTCTAGGGACACTCCTTCACCGCTTACCTAGGCTTCCTTTGAGCCTAAGGATCAGCCCAATGTAAATGCTTAAGTTCTTCTGAGGATTTTTCTGAGCGTGTACCTTCCCTGAATATGCACATGTGTTTCTAAATTCTCCTGGATACAAGGCTACTTTTAAATGTCCTAATTTCCAAAAGCATCTAACTTTAGCTTCTCCTCCTGACCTTAGATGGTCTACTGTATGTCTCCACCCAGATATCTTTCAGTTTGTAGCTGCCTTGTAGCTTTTACAAGCAATACCCACCTGCATTTCAAGTTGTGTGGAACAGGGACTAGTGGCTTGCATCATTCCTCCAGGTATGTCCTTTCCAGCTTGAGGAAGAAAACTGGAAACAGGTCTGCCACCTTCTCAAGACCAAAATCACCATTGTGCTGGGAGGGGTGA